CATCAGACTCAACAAAGGCCACAGGCGGATTAGGAAGCCAAGGCCCGAGGGCCTTTTTTAAAGGAAAAAAATGAAGACTTAGCTTTCTCCCCATCCTTCATCCCCATTTTTTAAATGTCTACGATGCAATTGATTAGCAGGGGCTTTTCAAGCTTTCCTTAAACTTTGTTTATGTGGCATCAGCCCAGAAGACGGAAAACAGTAACTGAGTTCTCAGTTCCTCCAGTTCTAATAACTTGTAACCTTTCTGCCTGCTGGTGAGGAAGAAGGGGGATGCGGCTGCAGCGCCCACCAACCCGCTTACACCCCACACGAAAGCTCTTCATTTTGAGTTCATTCCACTGTTTTTCCTCTCTTCCCTGCCCCCCCTTCCTTCTTACATTTATTTATTTTTATTTATTCATGGGAACACCCGATTCAGGCTTGTTTTCCGTGTAAGATTCTGGTGTCGTAGACCTTGAAAGGCTCTCAAACTCTACTATACCTAGATAAGAGTTATTTTTAGATCACTCCCTTTTCATGTTCACAGCATGTCTTGTAAGCTGATTTCTAGCACCCTGAATATTTTGCTTTGTGTAACCATGACCATTTGTAGATTTTACGCAGAAGAACGTCCGGTGTTTGACTGAGGGTAGCCTCTACCTCCAAGGTACTCCAACAGCTCCCGCCCCTGCCCTCCCACCCACTTTGTTTTTGAGCTTCCAGAATCGCTAGAAGAGAGAGGAAGGAGAGAGAGAGACAGAGAAAGAGGAAAGGGGAGGGAAGAGACGTTGTGCATTTTGATATTTTACCCCTGAGGCTGGAAAGGGCATTTATCTCTTCTCCTGCAGAAAAGTGAAAAGGTTCTTTTTTTTGTTTTTTGTTTTCTTTCGTCAATCCAGCTGATAAAGATTGACATAAGTAACCTGGTACAGCTGAGATTCAGTATCTCAAAAAGCTACACAGACAACAGGCACCATAAAATGGTGTATCCAAAGTAACTTTAACTTGTAGGGTAACTCACTAGCAAAACAAAATCATTTGGAATACTAAAATTCAGGAGGCGATTTAAGAGGTCAAGGCCCCTCCGGACATACAGAAGTCTTAGATCAAGGCACCCACACTCCTGCAGGCTGATCAGATGTTGCCGGAGTTTGGAGGTTAAGAAGGCCTCGGTCCCAATGGACCCCACAAGCGAGACTCTTTCATGCAAGAAGGCCAGGCAGTCGCCCCAATAAAGTAAACAGAGTGGCTGGGAAGCTCTCTCGCTGCCCCCGCATCCTTCCTTCACTCATGCTTAGAGAGTCATTATTCTGAGCTCAGTTTTCTTTTCTCCCCATCTTTAAAAACAAATGTACACATCTCCAAAGGAGGGAATTTATTCAGATGCCCACCACAGAGTCCAGCCCTAAAGTTATTATTATCAACACCTAATGATAATAGAACACAGTCTTTACAGGCCTGCCGGGTGAGTGACCAGCCCAGCACTGCTCCTGTCTCCCCTTTGGTGATTGGGATTTTACTTGACGCTGGTCAGCCCCGTGTCTAATTGATCCTTGATCCAAGAGTGAGAGCCGGGGAGAAACTGCCACCCACCAGGACTGGCTTTGGAGCCAGAAAGGTCTGCGTCTGAGTCCAAGTCCTTCACTTCCAACCTTGGAGATCTGGGCCGTTGTTAACCTCTGAGGTTCAGTTTCTCTGTCTATGAACCACACCACAGGATTGTAGGTATAACACAATGTACACAAAAGGTCTGACTTGTTTCAAAATATGTCATAACTGTTCCAGTTAAAGAGTTAAACCTCGTGTCTCGATGTTGATGGCAACACACACAAGAACAAAACTCGGCCTCTTAGTTTCTCTGGATTTGACAGTTTTCTGCACCAGTAGATTTCACCCCGTCTCCATTTTCCCAGAATGGAGGGACTTATGTAGCTTAAATGTGGTTCATCATTTTTGGTAAATCAGGAGTCAGATTCTTAAAATGACTTGCTCGGGTTGCCTGAAGCCATCTCTAAGGGGTAGGTATGGCTGCATCGGCAGCAGTGCCCTATTGGTCTAGATTCTGCCCTGGTCCATCTTTGAAAAGGACATGTGTCAGTTTTCTTTCCCGTGACTGTAAAAGAATTCTAAAACTCGGCTGTAGAAGTTCATGATGATGTCCTGACTTACTTAAACGCGTAGCCACGACAAAATGGCTTTCTGTTCAGTTTTAAAGACCTGGTAAAGTGGGAAGTTGAAATTAACCTCAGCCCTTTTATAGCTGAAACCTCAACAAATAAACAGTGGTTTGGTGGCATGGCAGCCTGGCCCCCTTTCCCATCTGCACCCTGCTTCAGATCATTTGAGATGTCTATTTTGAGTGATTCTCAAGCACATCTCATTCTAGATACATAGAGGCATTACTCTATATCTGTGATTTCGTACTGAAGGAGTTAAAGGGCCAGGCATGACCCTCTGATGAAATCCTAGCAAGACAGGGTGTATCAGCCTATCAACTCATGATCTCTCCGAGACCGTAACTGTCGACAACTCCGCCGGGCTGAATACATCCACACATTGGTACGGCACTGCTGTAAAACTGCTCTGACTACTTTGGGGAGGTTTTTCTTCCAACTACTGCTGCCATTTCAAAGCGAGCCATAAACACATGCTGAATTTTTATATAAAGCATCTTCTTAAATATAATACAGAAGCTCTAGCGCTAAGCTGGGAAGATAACCATTTTCCTGTCCATCAAGAACAAAATGAAGGTTCTGGCTGAAAGAGACTTTACTGTTACCCTTGTTAACTTTCTAACTTCAGGGAGAAAAAACTCCCAAGGGTCTACTCAAAACAGGACGAAGGTAAAAAAGCATTTTCTTACGGAAAAAAGAAAGAAAGAATAAGGAAAAGTAGATTTACATGAAAATCTCCCAGATACTTATTTTTTAAAAGTTGTTCCTACAATTTTACAAGTGACACCCTGAACGGCAAATCATGTTTTGGAAGGAAAGAACGTCAGCGATGTAGTTAACACATTCTCTCGAGTAGCAACTAAGCCTCCAAGGCACTCTAAAAGCAAGCTATTATTACTTAGATGTTGCAGAAGTAAAAAGTTTTTAAAAGGAACAAGAAACGGGGTTAAACCTGATACTCTGCTAAGCGTACAGTATTCCAAAGAGCTGAGGAATGCCCGTCCATGGCAATGCCTCCGCCTGAGAGATGCTGGCTGCTGAGGACAAGAATTCAACACCCCACCCTGCCGTTTTCTTTTTGGTAAAGAGAGTGTATCTGACCAGGAGGGAAATCAGATCTGATTCACTCTTCACCAAAACTGAAACCAAGCCGAATTCATGGTGACGATTTCCACTTGCCCCCATGTGGTTACATTTTCCATTGCCTTTCAAAATGCTTTACTATTTTTAGTTCCAATAGCAGTAGAAAAAGGCAAATCCCTTTATCAACCTAGTAGTAGAAATGGTCAGGTATGTCATGAGAGAATAAGAGAACAGAAGTCTCCTCTTAGATGTTACAAATGGAATCCTGAAGATGACATAAATGAATGTAAATGGCCCTAAACACAAGATCCAGCCATCCCCTGGAGAATTTTATTCTATTTAGAAGAAAAGTGGCATTTTCCCCTCAAGCCCATCTCTCTCACTTAATGCGCCATTTCATCTAATTTCTCATACACACTTGCATTTTGGAATTAAAAAAAAAATCTATATGCATATTTTGAATAGTATGCAATGATTAAGCACCAGGACACCAATGGTTTCATGGGACCTCTTCTTAAATACACCTAAGATGAAACTGTAGATGAGAGGCAGCCCCCCCAAATCAAGCTGAGGTTTCTGTGGTCCACAAAATGGCTACTCTACAGAGAGGCCACTTAACAGCTGTCTGCATAGTATCTTGTGGGAGGAGTTCTCTGGGAATTTCCCCTGCAAATAAAAATAACTTCCCCCAGAATCATGACTGTGAGAGTGAATGGCATGGGCCATCGGGCTCTGAGAAAGAGGGTGGGCGTGCCTTTAAGAGCCCCACGTGTGCTAATCCCAAAAGAAACCTACGGGCTGGAAACCCTAAAGGACTTAGGATGCTTGCCCATCTCACAACACAACTCAAACAGAGAAAACACCCGGGAAAGCTAATTTCTGCTGTCCCAGAAGGGCAAGGAGCATTCCCCTTGCTGGCCACCTGCCCTTTCCCCCAGATGTGTTGCTTATCTCTTCCTTTGAGTTAAACAAGCCTGACCCTTTGAGAAAGGAATCTTACTGTGACCCTACCATACACAGCTGTGTCCTGCACAGCACCGAGAAAACGACTGCCTTTCAGAAATTTGACATGGTATCACAGAGCAAATAATCATTGACGTCAGTGCTTTCTACAGTGTAAATGAACTCTGTGTATTATCTAATTTGGCACAGTGGGTTTTATGCAATTCTTGTATTTTACAGTGTTTTTGCAATTGCCGGCTAACCCCACGGTGGGAGGGGGGATAACCCGCCTTCTTTATTGATTGCAGGTTTATGAATTGCAATGAATACCCTTGACGGGGTGGCGTCCAGACACTCCTCCTATTTCTTTACATTTGCCAAAGAACGTATATTAAATACAAACCCCTCAAGTAATCAGTAAGAACTTGAAACATCCTGACCTTCACCTGGCCTGATGTATGTGTGTGTGTGTGTGTGTGTGTGTGTGTGTGTGTGTGTCTTCAAGCCAAGGAGGTAAGAAAATAACCTAGCCAAAGCTAAGCTTGAAAAATTCGAGATCTGATCTACACAGTGATACATATCTGTCCATATCCTCTCTATACCCTCCCTAGCAGTGCCTTTCAATCTGGGGATCTTGTTACCACGCAGATCAGACTCAGTGGGTCTGGGGCGGGCCGAAGACTCTGCTGTTAACAAGCTGCCAGGCTGCTGGTCCGGGGACCAGCCGTTTCTGAGTGTGGACGAGGAGCCACAACTGGCCTGGGTGGGTTCCGCCCAAGGGTGAGGCGGGAAGCAGGCTCTGTCCGTCCGGGTACTTACCCTGCATCTGACTCTGAGGCTGAGGGTTAAAGGCAGTGGAGTGGTTCAAGGAGGCCCGAGGGTTGGGTGTAGGGGCCGGATGGTGTGGGCTGACCCTCATGGCCGTGCGCCGCAGCTGCTCCAGTTCACTGAGCCGCTCGGAAAAGGACAAGCTCCCGGGCTTGGTCTGATCATCTAGTTTCTGACGATGTCCTATTGCGGGGAGGGGGTGGGGAGGGGAGAGGGAGGCAAGAGATCAGAAAAGGTACCGTGGATTTGCTAAAACTCGGGCTTTTCTCGTCTTTCCCCTCCCTCTCCCCTCACCCCCAGCGTGGATCTGCTGGAGATCTGCACATTTAGCTGCTCCCGGGGTCGGGGTGGGGGGGGATTCGGGGCCGCTGTCCCCACGGCAGACTGGGGCCCCTACTGTCACACTGGCTGCTGGGCGCTCCGCCCAGACTGGGCCCCGGCACCCACTCCAACCCTCTGTGCCCATCTCCACTGGGCGGGATGCGGTGGGCACGCGGGGCTTGGTGGCGGTGGTGATGGCGGCAAGGAGAGAAGGGGCATTCGCTGTTGGCACTTGGCCAGGAAAGGAGCCCTGCCAGTGGCATCGGAACAGCTGCCCCAGCTGCACACCCAACCCCGGGCAGGTTTCAGAGGCAGCAATGTGGGCCCTGGAGCTTAGAGGCGCGCCCCTTCTAACAGGAAGCGAGGTGTGGCTGCAAGCCCACAGCCCTGGGAGGTCAGATTTCCTGTTAAGTGCAGGGCACGGGTGGCCCCTCTCCTCTGCTAGCAAGCTTTGCATGAGCATCCTTTCTTCCCTGAAGCCGACTTCCCCAGCTTCGGCCTTGTCCAGTCCAAGACTCCCAGCAGGCCGGGCCCACTGGAGCCCAAAGGGAGCCGCCAGCAGGTTGGCCGAGCTTCCCCAGGGGGCTCAGGGATCCGGGGTGGAGAGTCGGGCCCCTCAGCATCTGTAGACACACCAAGTGTCCTCGCCTCGCTCCTGGTCTAAATTGCTGTCACCAGGCTGCAGCGGGCAGAGGCCATTCACTCAAGAAGGGCCAGGGGGGTTGGGCCTTAATCCTTCATCAAAATGTCTTTACACCAGAGACTCAGGCTTGTCAAGCGGAGCTGAGGCTCCCAGGTACTGATGTAGCCACGGGGGGGGGCAGTGGATTCATTCCTCTTTCAGAGAGGCTGCCCTCCTCCTCCTTACTTTGAACCAGGATGGTTCGAAGAGTCACTGATCAATTTCACAAAACCTCGCCGGATTGTCAAGTGGCCTCAAACCAAGATTGGAGAAGCAGTCTCCTTGCTGCCACGCTCAAGTGCCCTTTCGCACACCCGACCCAGTCCTCAGTGAGGAAGAAGATCCCTTGATTCCACGCCCTCCAGCCCGGCGTGGGAGTCGGGGTGGGAGAAGTATATTTTAGCCCAGCTCCCGCTGCTACGATTATAAAATTAAAATTTATAACTTGTATTATGGTTCCAAATCTCCGTGGTTTGCCGTTTCTTCCTGCTGCCAGGCCCCATGGCACAGTTGACACTGTCTCAAATTCCAGACCAGAAAAAGGACGCACTATATTGCAGTGATTTTATCATGAACAAGACCTGTTTTGGCTCCGAGATGAGGAAAAATACTTAAGCATAATATTTGTGTAGTTCAAATGCAACGCTCCCTCTTTTCATGTGTCACCAAGGCAAATCTGGACTCTGATTCAGCCCCACAGCCCACAGTACTCAGTCTGAACACAAGGCAGCCTGAGTCACGCAGGTCCAGCACACATGTGAGAGGCCTCTCACCCGCTGAGTATTTTAAGCACCGGCCTTGTGGGCGAAAGGCCATGGGGCCAGGTCCCGGAACAACCCCTGTCGTCCCTTTCCCTCAGAAGTACGAAAACATCTTTTTCTAGAACATTCTATTTCAGTCCACCATGGACTCATCTGTGGTCCCTGGATGGAGCTTCCCTTGACTCCTCCTTCCTCTTATCTCTGTGATACATTCTCGGCTTCCTGATGGTCAGACTGAAAAATCTGAAGTTTTCTTGTAGAAGAGCAAACAATGCCAACTCAAAAGCCATCCCAGGCATAATAATTCAGCCCTTTAAATGCCTACCATGACCTGGTGTTAGGGGTCAAGCAGGGAAGAAGGCAGGACAAATGATTCTGGAAAGTTCTACCTCCTCAGAAAGAATGCCGGTTGGCAAAGTTTTGGAGTCTCCGGCCAGCCTTTGAAGAGAGGCCTTCAATTGTGTCTGCCTCAGTCACCAATCTTGGGTGCCATCACGTGCCACCAAGAAACCAAACGGGAATAAGTCATTTCAGGTAAGCCACTACTGCGGCCAGGAACAACGTGAGATTACCTTTTTTTTATGAGACCCCTCTCATTGCCCTATGCTTAAGAAAAATAAATAAAAGAAAGTTCTCAACACATGAGCAACTTCTGCACCAGCTGACACCTGCCAAAACCGTAGTCATTTACAGAGATTAACTGATGACTGTCTGCTTTACTAGGAATGTTCGGGCATAGCTCTCAGAGACAACAATTCTTCACTCTAGGCTATTTCTTAAGCCCTGAGAGTTGCAGGGCTGAGTTTAACGCTGGAGGAGGGGATGAGAGTTCATCTCACTCCCTCCCCATGCTGTGATCCACAGAGTAAGTAAGAGCGTTACTGCCCTCCCAAGGAACCCTGAGCCCCTTCCTCACTACTAGTGTTAGAGAGCTGTAACACCAAGGCACGGGGGAAATAAAAAGCATTATCATATTAAAGGTGTGGTTCTGATGTGTTTATAAGCTAGATCAAAGGAAGACCTAATTCCTCTTTTCTGAAACCATCAGATTTCGTGTGCCAAAGAGCAATGTTTTGCGTGAAACGTAGAAGCTTCTAATATAAACTTTCAAGCTGGGGGAAATGAATGCGTTATGTCTCCAGTTTCCTGTATCTGTGTGCAATTAAAATGTCAATTTGCCCCCTGAATTTTAAATACAGGAGTATGGAAAATGTCCACTATCAAATTCACTTTTCTTCTTTCTTACTGACTACTGGGCCTCAGAGGGCAATAGGGAATTCAACCCCGGTGGTAGAATTAACGCAATGAAGCGTCAAACACGTGCATGTTGGCAGCCTGGCTTTTTGAACACATTGGAAGTCAGCTGTGTATGTCCACGTGGTGGTCCTGAAAATAGTGGCTACCTCAAGATTTCATACTGGGACGTCTTACTGAATCTTTAGCAGAGTTGAAAGAGATCCTAAACTATGTTTCTCTATTACTATTTCCACATTTTCCAAAAAGTACTTGATTAGAATTTTATATATATGCAAAATTATACGAAGCCAAAAGAACAAAAAAAGAATAAAAACAAACTAATCCCATCTGCTAAATTTTACGTCTTCATTCCAAAGACATATGTCCTGCCGTCTTCTGGAATGGGTGCCCAAGGGGTATCCCTAAATGCTAGGGTATTTGTGATGCATAATGAGACCAGCTTTCAGTTTTCTGCTATAAAAACTAGGCTGAGTAGGTATGCATATTTCACTGACAAATGAAGTGCCTTTTCCAAAACAACGTTGTTGATCTGTGGCTGTAAGTAACTGAAATACAACACAGATCATCCTTGAATTACAATTGGGTAATGTCCCAATAAATCCATCCTCAATTGAAAATATCATAGGCGAAAATACATTTAAAATACTTAACCCACCGAACAAATTAGCTTAGCCTGGCCTACCTTAAACGTTCTCAGCACACTTACGTTAGCCTACAGTTGGGCAAAATCATCCAACACAAAGCCTATTTTGTAATCAAGTGTTGACCATCTCAAGTCATTTATTGAATACGGTACTGAAAGTGAAAAACAGAATTGTCGTCTGAGTACAGAATGGTTAAGTGTATCAGTTGTTGATCCTTGAGATGGCATGGCTGATCACACAAGCATCACACCACACATCAACGGCCCGGGAAAAGAGCAAAGTTCACAATTTGAAGTGTGGTTTCTACCGAATATGTGTCACTTTCACACCATCATAAAGTCGAAAAATTGTACGTAGAACCATCCTAAGTCAGGGACTATCTGTGTATGATTTTCTATGAAAGAAAACAGATGAGGCTAAGTTGTTACCTTTTCTTGGCAAGTTCTGGGTAGAGAGAACCATTTCCTGACAATCAAAATGCTTGTCCATGTTTCTGATAGGAGTTTACTAGTTTTCTTGAAAGATTCTCCGCAGAAATATTAGAAAAGGCATATACTCAAAGCATTGTCATGATGAGCAGTTGAAAAAAATTGATGCAAAATGATGAGACCAAAAGGATATCTGTCTATATGTGTGTGTATATAGATCTCTATCTCCTTCCTTCCATCCATCTATCTCACTGTGATTCTTCCAAAAGGATATAGGTTTTTCAAAAGATGTTTGCCAATCAATCTGATACTAACGACACATATCCGGGTATAAGAACATTGACATTTCCTTCTTTAACTTGCTATTCTTTATGACTAGGGAAAAGAAACCAACACGTGTAGAGAACAGCTCACTTTTCCTGGTTTAACACTCTACCCAGGGGTAGAGTGCTCTGGGGTCATCAAAGTCATTAGGACTTTAAAGCACTGGTACTGAACATGGATGTGATCCTTCCTCAAAGTACCTTCTTGCAGGCGGTGAAATAAAGCTTCCTAGGGCTTCCCTGGTGGCGCAGTGGTTAAGAATCTGCCTGCCAATGCAGGGGACACGGGTTCGAGCCCTGGTCTGGGAGGATCCCACGTGCTGCGGAGCAACTAAGCCCATGTGACGCAACTACTGAGCCTGTGCTCTACAGCCCGCGAGCCACAACTACTGAGCCCACGTGCCACAAGTAGTTAAGCCCACACGCCTAGAGCCCATGTGCCGCAGCAAGAGAAGCCACCGCAGTGAGAAGCCTGCGCACCGCTATGAAGAGTAGCCCCCACTAGCCACAACTAGAGAAAGCCTGCACGCAGCAACGAAGACCCAACACAGCGAAAAATAAATTTAAAATAAATAAATTTATTTTTTAAAAAAACCTTCCTAACTGCAAACCTATCCATCTGCTGGCTAATTAAATGTTGGGAAATACGGTCTCATATTATATATTGTGTATAGATGATATCTACATAGATTTATACATATAATTGTATACATAGATTATATATAGATTGTATATACCTTATATACACAATATGTAATGTGATATAA